GAAAATATTGAAGAATCCTCCTAACAGAAATAGGTTTCCCAAAACAACCATAGATCTATAGTTATGGACTGCTGCTTATCTACAAAATTCTGTGGGATATTTTAAAAACTTGCACATCTCATTTTATAATGTAAACAAACTCATAATCTCGGCTCTTTTTTAAATTAAATTATTACTTCAATTTTCATTAAAAATCACCAATTCCTGTAACTATACAATTTTTTTCTTTCTTTCTTTCTCAGTGCCCATTCTTGCTTGGCAGTAACAGGGTGTAATACTTGTCCCTTCCATATGGGGAAAATGAGTACTCTACTTCTGCCAAGATCAATCTTGTCTGTAATAAGGATAACTACAGGGTGATCTGTTGGAAGTAGCCAAATGAATGACAGACATGTGAGAGTGATTCAAGTGCCTATCCACAGCTATTTAAAATTAAACTGACATTGGGGGAAATGTTGTGTACCCATTTCTTTTTCCCATACACTAGGTATTTTTAACTGGTTCCCATGAAGATGGTTGCATAACCAAATCAAGAACTAGGAATAAATCCTCCCTGGCCTTCATCTGGCACTGAAATCTCCCTTCCCTTCCAGACTGCATATCCCAAAGGTGAAACCTCATTCCACAGCAGCTACAGGTCTTCCTGCCTCTCACACTACATGAAAAAAAGAAAGGGAAACACCCTCTGAGTTTCTGAACTTAAGCTCTGTACCCCCATATTCTGGCAGTATTGTTTCCTGCCATCTGTTTAAGTCTCCTTCACCATGTAAACTGAGTGAAAAAAGGTTCTGTGTGCAATTAGTATTTCAGATTAAATAAGCCTCTAATGCTCAAATTGAGAAAGTTTAATTAGCTTATTTTATTGTGAAATTATTTGACAAAAAAGCGGAAGAATCTTTCATAAATAATACTGTCAAGACAGAAAAGAAAGAGACAGAAAAAGACAGAAGAGGAAGAGACAAAAAATATTCGTAACAGAGTATTTTCAAGTTCCATTAAAAAGACGAAATTCTGTACAGTTTAGTAAACATGATCACTGTCACAGTACAAAGCCCTCAAAATCTCCAATTTTATCTGTACACACTGAGCCAGAGCAAGGCTGGGGCACTGTACACAGAGCATCAGCTTTCTTATCAGAGTGGCAGAGGCAAGAGCTCCAACCCTGATGTAATTTTGATGTAACCTGCAGTAAGTAAAGGACCCTGCCATAACGTGCAGCATGAGTGATTTCTCTCCTTGATAAACTCAAGGGAAAAAAGAATTCACTGAGTGCTATTAACTGCAAAATTCCTCTGTCTGCATCAAGATATTTCAAAAACAGCAGTCACTGAAAGCAGAAAAGATGGTCAGAGAAGAACCAACAATTTTGTCTTTGTCCTGTTCACACCTCCTCCAGCTAATGGCCAGAGAGAGAGCCCATGATCTCCAGCTCTTTTGACATTAGTTTTCTTCAAAAAGCATTGCTATTTATCTAAGAAGCTTGAATTCCATGAAAGTCCCACTGCCTTCATGTGGGATGGCATTCCGGAGTGGACATAACAACACAGCTGTTTAAGCACAGATTGTGGCTGAGAAACAAAAAACCAAAACATTAATAGAAGAGGAAAAAAGAAAATTCATATTCTGTACCCAGCCACAACAGCAGAAACTAATCAGACTGCTAGCCCATTAGTAAAACCACAAGGTTGCACTTCAGCAGCTCTGAAACAGTAATGGATTTTCCCATGAAAACTTGAAAGAAAAGGTGAAAAAAGGTTTGTGTGGTATGATGGAAAGGAATGCCAGACACAGCTTTGGTCAAACATTCCCATTAAATATTTTCTCATTACCCACTAAGTTCACTCACAGGCCAATTTCACTGGCTATTTACCAAGAAGGTTTAAGATAATGTTTACTGCTCTTTACTGCTTTTCAATTTTCTAGACTTGCTGGCATTTCCCTTTAAAAAATCCTTGTGAAATTAAGACAGTAACACATGAATAGTTTATACTATACTGAGAAAATCTCAGTAGATTTTCTGCTATTTTGATTATATACATTCTACCACTAAACTGCTATACAATTGCTTTCAAAAAGTTACTGAAGATGCCATTTTTCTTCAGCAATATGGAGTAAATCTCACTGATATCACTGAAATTATTTCATTAGAAACGAGAGCAGATTAGTCTCTTTGCAGAGACAGACACTGATGCATTTATGCTTTTATTATACATATAGCATAGCATAACTTCAACTCTGTAATACCTAAAAAAACCCAGAACAGAAAGAGTAAAATGACGTATTTCAGCACTAGATAACATGGAAAATGTAAAGAAGTGTAACACTTTGTTGCAGAAAACAAACCGAAGTCTTGAATAACACTATGTATTTATCTTTAATTACACTAATGCTAAATGCTAGCTGCTATTTTTGACAGTATAAGGAAAAAAATGGAAACTAGGAAAGCAGTCGGTAGAAAGTAATTACTACACTGCTGAAAAAAATGCTTTGATAAACTACACAGAAGATATTAATCTTACAGTTTACAGACCAATAATCTTTCCGACAAACAGCATTTACTGATTACAGAACATAAAAGCCAGCTTCTTGAACGCTCATTTGCTTTTAGCATGCCTTTATGCGTTTATATTTCATCAAACACAGTAATTTGAGACGAACAAGTAAAGAACACTAATGAAAAAGCCAAAAGATACAAACAGTAGAAAGACCTTAAAAAAATATACTGCTTTTATTTTGTACGACCGCTTATAGGAATTTTTGTTCTTTTAGATTCAGATTGATATGCTAAACTGTGTTTTCCTTAGATGTGTAGAGTTAAAGTTATAAACTAGACAGACTTGTTGTACAGGTATTGGTAGTGCTGACTCACTGAAAATTATGTCATAAGATCAGTATTTGTCTAAATTCTTCACCTATTAGTTCCATTATTTTCATTTTCACTGTGCAAAGCAGATGACAGTCTTAAATTTTATAATTACAAATGAAGAAAACCAGCAGCACTAAAACTCTATAGAACAAAGTGATTTACTACAGTATTAAAAAGTACCATATAAATATCACCACCTATACAAATTTATAGTATAAAATTATGAACCTGCTTAGACTTGTACATGTACTTGAAATTTTACTATATTAGTGGCCCCAATGAAATTGTTTATTGACAGTTTCTTACTGTTGGGTCTGCATTTCATGTCTTTTTTGCATTTTTAAACAAAGAACAGAAATTTAGCTCCTGATTCTAAGATAAACTGAGAGCAAAGGAATATTTTGTGGACTCCCTTGTAACATGATCTATCTTGGCAGGTAAACAGACCCTTTATTTCCAAGACTTAGAAGACAAAGTTACCAAATGAAAACAAAAATTTCTTTGAATGCAAAAAAAGACTGGCTGTAAGGCTGATCTCAAGCAGTATTCTCAATATTTAAGTGATTTTGGAGATACAGGATCAACCACTGACAAGCTTTTCCCTCTTGCAGACTTAGAGCTTAAGTGAAGTTTCTGCACACTGTTATTGACATGACTATTACTAAAAGGAGATGGCATCATGACAACCTCCAAACACTCAGGTCTAAGGATTTCAAATTCATTGTGAATGGAATTATGAAACTATTTTGTTTTTGGTGCCCATGGACAGGAGAGCTCCTACAAAAATCTACTTCTTGCACTTTATCTTATGTGGTTGTTGTTCTTTTCTCTGTCATGAAGTTTCAGAGGAGATACTGAGGCATTCATGTTTTCTCTCAGAAAAAGGTTAAAAATACTTGGTTATAAGGCTTCCCCTAGAAATTCTCATGAGTTTAGCTTGGTTTGTGGTTTGGTATGTTCCACAGGAAAAAAACACAAAAGCCAATTTCTGCTGTATTTGGAGAAATTATTTAGCAGTAAGTAAAACTTCCAAAGTCATATAAAACCCCTTTCTATTTAGATTATATGTTTAAGATAAAAACATGTGTTCTTCTAGGAAAAAAACGTGTGTTTGTTTTCTGCTTTGGTAAGAATTCAGCATTTTTAATTTCCAAGACAGCTACCACCAAAATTATAGATATAAGAAATCCATCCGTAAGCAGATTTTCCCTTGGGATGGACTAATGGAGAAAGCAGGATTTGAAAAGAAAAGAAAATACAAAGGTGGTGGTGTATAAACAACATCCAGCAGAAGGAGGTTTGGTCTGCTGTGCTAGGAAAACCTGTTATGCTCGCTTTAAAAAAGTGCAGAAGGAGAAAATGGTATCCTGGAAAAAACTGACAAAATCACTAACCTGAAATACTCCAACAAAAATGGACATAAGCATACAGTGCCATAGTTATCAGCGGCAATTCTGTGGTAATTTCACCCACTCCTAAACACATTATGGGTGTTTGTTACCACCCATAAGTTTACTTCTATACCACAAGAGTAAAAGGACCTTTTCATCTATGGTATGGAGCTTTTCCCTTCTGCACAAGGGAATAGGTGGTAGTTCAAGCCATTAACAGACCCTTCTGTATAACAGGTTCACAGCTTTAGGTTTTGATAGTAACTGGTGAGAAAGGTGTTTTTGACGGATTTCTTAATGATGTCTTCTTTTTGCAACAAATTGTTGCATTTAGACAAGTAAGAAACACATTCTAGAGTAACCACTAATCTGATCTCATGGACAAAAATGAGTTTTGTCACAATAAGGCATTTCATCGTGATAACTAGTGAAGTAAACAACATAAACATCTATGTATTTTAGGATTTGTGTCTCACTTCACAGATCTAGAAGGGTTCACAGAAATCCTTGAGAAATGCAATGCTAACACCAGAGCAGGGAAGCTCTACTGCTTAAACATCTTGTCCTAGGATTTTTTTAAAATTTAATTGAAACAATCATTCAGATTACTCTAGCCCTATCTCTTAATCATGGAGTAGGAAAATCACAATAGTGTTAGTAGGTATAACCTGTATAAGGGAAAAGAAGCATATTAATAGGATTTAATTCATATTTTGAAGAGATGATTAAACTAAAATACATACCGCATCTGTAACCTCTATCTCATAGAGCTTCTGGAAGGTCTCACGATAAAAGAAAAACAGCTTCCCACTGCCACCACCCTTCTTAACAGAGGTGCCTGTGACAAGGATCTTATCATCTGGACTGAAACAACAATCTGTCCTGTTGAAGAAAACAAAGCATCTCACTGAGCAGATAAATAATTAATATATCAAGAATTTAGATATAAATTGCACTCCTTAAAACAATCTTTTCTATTTGTTAGTCCTTTCCAGACAAAGCTTGAAAAAGTATTTGTTAGCTGTCATCTATTGGTGTAGTTATCAATTAGAGTTATCTGTTACAATTGTTATTACTGTTGTGCACAACATGGGCAAAACTGGCAGGTTCAATAAAAATCCTCCTCCCAGCAAAATTCTCCTCCACCCAAAAGTCTTGCAAGCTTTTCAATACAAGAAAGAAAGAAAGAAAGAAACAAACAAAAGTACTTTCAAATCTGGCTGTCATCATTAAGTAAAAAATGTACTAATCATGAAATCTGGTTTTGCTGATGATGCACTCTTCAGTGATGCAAGGTGGTGTGTTTACACACTGGCCAAAAATATTTTTCTGTTTATTTTTCCTCTGTGTTACAAATTGCAGTTAAGACTGAGCTGTCCATGACTTGTCTTTCTAAGATCTCATTTCAAAATTACAAACTGTCCTTAGAGGATTTGGCTGTATTACAGCAATGGAAATGCAGACCAGACCAATAAAAATATTGAAAACAATACTCAGCACTATGCAGTAAAATAAAATCAGCATTTCTGATGCTGTAACCTCAATTCATATCAAGTACCTTCATGTTATGTCTAGTTTTTCATTCAGCTCTTTTTTTATTAATTATAGACTAAATAAGAATAAGATTTACATCTATATCTCATTACACACATAAGGGTCTCCTCCTGAAATATTACTAATCTAATTAGATTTGAGACATATGAGACTGAAATATCACAAAAATAAGATCTTTTAAAGCAACACAAATCCCTGAAATAGACCAGAATTGTCACTGCACAGTTCTTCTTGTGCTGTCCTCTCTGCACAACTGTGGACCTAGTGACAACTGACGATAAGAACTCCATCAGAATCCTTCCCCATTCAGCAAAAATATTGTTATTTCTGCTAGTTGGAATAAATTAGAATACTTACATCGGAAAGAAGCTGGGCAGTCCATCTGCTGAATTAAGAGGTTTTTTAAATTGTCTGATATCCCATATCTTTAAAGTATCATCTCCTATGAAACAGAAGAGACAAAGGTCAGCAATAAAGAATTCAAGTCAAGAACTTATACATGTCAGAAAATTTCACTCTCTAATTCAGAGAGGAGAACAAAATTATATAATAGAAGCATCTGAAATGGGACCAATTTGGAAGTTTTTCCTCAGTAAGTGACTATGACAGCGCAAGGTTGAGAAGCACAATATGCAGCACTCCAGTATTCAATGGCTCAATTGTATTGTGGTAATCCTTCCTATCAAGAAGCACTATACACAGTGGAATCCGATTCCTCAATCACTAATTTATTCTTTGTTTGTGAGCATTGATGTTTTGCTTCTAGGAGCAAATTTAACTTACAAGATATCTAAAGAAATTAAAAATGTTGCCATGGATGGTCTAGATCAAAAACTTAAAAAGTTTTATATGTGTGGTTTTTACCTGTCCTGAAAAAGCAATCAGGAAGAACATTAAAAACACCTGAAAGCCCTCCCCCTTCTTTAGCAGGCAACAAACTGCTATCTCAGTATGGAGAAGAGGCTCTGGAATCAGTCAGAAATCCTCAGGGAAGGGGGTGAAGGGAAGTAAGTGAAACCACTCTTTCTGTAATGAAAGCATTTCACAACATTACCCTTAGCTATAAAAGCCAAAATCAAGATTACAAAAAGAGATTTGTAGCAATTTTCATCTGTGTTTGATGAACATGGTGTGACTGTAGGCCAGTAAAAGTCAGGCTGTTTATCCCTTTTTGAAAAGTTATGACATATTAACAAAATGAGAACAGGGGTAAAAAAAGAGATTAATTAGTTATTCTCAGAGACATCTACATATCCTCTCTGACTATCCTTCTGGAACACATATTTCCAGCATGAAATGAGCTACAGAATTTGAGCTTTGAAGTGCCTCACTCAAGCACCTAGACACATCCTAGTGATGTGTCTTTGACAGCAGTGCCTCAGCACTTTCAAGGGTAAAAAGAAGGACATTTAAGCAACAATTCTCTTTAAAAATATTCAGACAAAAGTTACAAAATCTTTCTGACCTAGGAGGCAAAATCTGCTTCCTTCCAAAATACAAATCTTGCAGGGAAGTAATTTGGTTATCTACAAGTATTTTGTGGATTCACAGCCTTTGAGCTCAAGAGCTCAAAGGAGGCCTTGGAAATAAAATGTTTTTAAAAGAAGTAACAAAAGAAATCAAGGCCAGCAGTGCCCTTTACAGGGAAAGCAGTAATGTGTGGCCTCGTACATCATGTATGTTTATATTAAAGACTAGGATAACTCCTTACTACAAAATATTTTTAAGAACTGGACAACTTAAATAAATGATGTCTAGAGTAGAGTATATTTCTGTTCATCGGGAAGCTAAAAAGCGACAAGAAAGAAAAATGTTGAGTCCCTGTTTAGGGAATATATGTTTTCTTATTGTTTCCCAGTAGACTCCATCCCAAGTACTTCAAAGCATTTAGTCTTGTAAAATGAGCCCTCCCTTTTCCCTCCCACCCCCCAAGAAAAAAAAAAACGAAAACCACTTATCGTCGAGATGTTACATCTAAAGCACCACCACTTTATAAATGTATGCAAAGGACAGCATTTGGCCACTTTGCAAATCTCCTGGATAGGGACAGATCTACGGCTAGCAGCCAAGGCTGTTCTGTTCCTACTGGAATGAGCCTTGACATGATCTTCAAACTGTAGTCCTGCCAGGTTTTAGCAGGAGAAATGCAGTCAGACATGTAGCTATAGCTCCTTTGCTAGCAAGAAAATGTAATGGACTAGTTAAAAAAATTCAGAAAACTCCAGTAGGACTCAAATTTAGGGTTGATTTTAAGTCAACATTGTCTTAAATTGAAATAGTTTAGAAATAGAAGAGTAAGTATTTGGAGAGGGGAAAATGCTAGTACAATGACTTGACTTGCTAATGCTGTGAAACTGAACCATCATTAAGAATTTGCTCCAATTCACTTTTCCTAATTAAAACTCCCAGATGCAAATTGATTCCTAAATCTAATTTGCATTTCAAGTTGAAATCACTGTCAATAAGATCACAGAATATTGCCTTTCTTCAGCACCAAGGATTTTTCCTAGTAGGATCCTTCTATCAATGCTTAGGAGGCAGCTTTAACAGAGCTGCAGCAGTAGTGATCTGTTTTTAATTACTTTATACATTAACAAAAATAGTTATCCTTAAACAAAAGCCTATAAACAGGAGTTGTGCAATTCAGTATGAATATTCAAAATAGTCTACTCAGATCATTCAGTATTTTTTCTTGATGGCAGACTTCTCCAAAGCCTGGCAGGATTATTTAAAGCTTTTATAGCATTTTTAGTAGCATTTCAAATGCTGTTTTTCAAATGCTGTTTATCCTTTTAATAAGGATACCAATAAACAGGCTCAAGACTGACACAATCAGGTCAAGACACTGTTATGCCAATGGTATTGAGCACTGGATTTATCAAGAGGTAACAATTAGGTCCTAGAAAAACAGTCTTTGGTGAGCAAAGATAGGCATTTTTCAAATGCCCTTTAGTCAAAATAAGGCTAAAGCACTAACATTATAAAGATTATATCTGATTTTTTTTGTTTTCTTTTCAGAAGATATTGACCAGAAGACAAGCACATAAATGCGAGTAGGCCCAGAAGAAGCAAAAGTGCTGCCAGGAATTCACAAAGCCTACAGTCAGCAGCACTCTATTTAAAAAGAGGGAGTCCTCTGCTGAAAGCAAAGCTCCATGACAGAAATTGTTCACAGAGATCAATGAGGCAAAGAAACATAGGAAATGGGAATTTTAAAAAGTTACAGCTTTGGAAACATATAGCATAGCACACTTACCATAGTATGTTTATCTACTCTGAGCCTTTCTGTGAAGGCTTATCTTACAGAACAAGGTACAGGCTTCTGCATTTTGTACTTTCTGTACTGCTTCTACAGCAGGAGCTGCAACAACTACAGAGCAGCCTTTGGAGGCATCAAAGATTAGGACCAAAGCCAAAGATCCCATGAGGGAAGTCACAAATTGAGGAAATATACCTACATTTGGAACACTTCTCAGTATCACCTGCATCCATACCAGCCTGATCAAATAAGTGCATCGTCCCCTCTAAACATATGGAATGAACACACAGACATATGGCTAGAAGGATACTGGAAGTCTTTCATAACGCCATTTCAGCCCCAAGTGTTGCACTTTTCTGCCTATGCCTATTAAAACTAGTAAATGCATTTCTGCCATGGTTAGAATGAACACTAGTGTTCAGCTTCCAAGAAATATTATTTGACAAAAACCCATCTGATTTTTGAAATGCTAATGTTTGGATTTACTATGAAGAGCAGTATGTTATTACACTACACAAAACAGTCACTATACATACTGCTGCATAACCCTTGAGCATGCATGTTTCTATGTTTTAAACCAATTTCAAAATTAAGAATGAAATACAAGTAAAATGAAAAAAGAAAAAAGACCAACAAAAAAATATCAGGAGTCAAAAAAAGATTTAAAAAATTTTTACAGTAAGACCTCAAGTCCAATCCTAATTGTTATCTCTTCCCTGCTAAACAAAGAAAATGTTCCCCAAATACTACGCTTTGTTGCTTCAAGCATGCAGAAATATCACTTTCTTAAGTTTCTGTCAGGTTACTACCTAATATCCAACAAGAATAGCACTGGAAACTTTCATAAGCAGCTCCTTAGGTTTTCATTTTCCCTTGTGCCTGCAGCTGAGCCATGCCTCATCTTCTCATATCCAACACAGATCCACAGGAAAGTCCAACAGGCTTTCAATGAAAGTTCCCATGCCCCAAACAACCATCCTCTCTTTGATCCTCAGCACTTGGCAGGTGTGTTAATCTACAAATGCTGGATCCACATCTGCTTTTGTTGGTACAGATCCAAAGCAATCCTCATATTAAAGCACTACCCAAACAAGTCAAAATAAGGTATGAATCCTCCTTACTTTCTAGCACAGAGAGCTTTTTTTTTCTCTTAATACACTAGACAAAGGTAGCACTTTTATCCACTCTGAGTGGCCAAATTTCTGTGCAGTCTTACATTCTGCAAACAATCAATCAACATTTTATACAGCTTAGTGCAGAGTGTGGAAGATAAAACCTGAGTAAATGAAAGTCTGTTTAACACAAGACAAAAACTGGAGACAGATGAGGAAGAGCAGGCAAGTAAAAGTGCCACATGCAATAAAAATAAGAAAAGGTCATTTATGTGGTCTACATACATAAATGTGAAACAGAAGAGAATTTGCATAAATTGAGGTTTCAAGACAGCAGTAGTGAATACCCCTCACTAACTAATAGCCTTGTTTGCCGTTATATTTAAAAGCACACTAAGGTTTATCCCTAAATTTCCTGAAGTATGTTTGCGTGAATTTTTTTGGAGCAATCACCACTGGCAGACAGACACAGCATTTTACTTAGTGCAGAACGGAAAGACACACAGTTCACATATTTTCCAAGCAGGAGAAGGACCACACATAATAAAAGTCTGGTTCAATAAGGACAAAAAAGCTTCAGAGCTTCTACCTCACCACTTACAACCCATTCATGATGGGTAGAGTGGCAGCAGAACTCTGAACAGCAGTTCAACTCAGGACCCTGAACAGCAATTACAAAACAACACAAGTGCCATTAGTGTCCATATGCCTAGGGCCTTCGAGGATAAGACTACAAAGTCCTTACTCTGAAAGATGTGATCTGGAAACAACATTTGGAATCTTTGAAATGCGGCAAGACATACAAAGAATCAGTGAGGCCACAGCCAATATCAGCTGCATTTCACTGTACCGACGTGCACCGGTCAGACACTCTACCCCCTTCAGGGACAGGGGCACAGGGAGGCCGCAAAGAAAATGCAAGCTACTTAGCTAGGAAACACATCCACTGCTTCAGAGTTTTTTTAATCTATGAATACCTACATTCTGATATTTTGTGTATGTAATCTCATTCTGTCTATGTACCACACTGACCAGATGTTCTAAACATATGTTAGGCACAGTGTTAGCCAACATTAATGTATACTGCCTCTCCCTAGGCCTGTTTATTTGGCCTTGGGGCAATGCTAATGCATACACAGAGCTTCTGGTTACAGCTGTTTTCTATCCAGACAGCTTGGCTTGTATGCTTGCACCTGCCTGCAAAGTACTGGGCAGACAAATTTCTGCATCAAAAGCTGTCTTCAACAAACACCATCCTATCCCAATAATGAAGTTAATGAGTCCTCAAATACATGTCTGCCTTCTCAGGTCTTGTTCTATTATCTAAGACTCATTTATAGAAGTTTTACCTGAAGCTTACAACACAAGCCTGTTTTCCCAGTCCTGTGGACATTCCAAATTCTTTTGCCATTCAAGTATATTTTGGAAAGTCAATTCCAGTCATCAACTTTTGATGTTTTTAATACAGATCAGATAAAAAGTCCAATTAGGACAGAAAATGACATTGCCTAAGAAAGTTGTATGAGGAATTAATACCTACAAAGAAGAGACCGTGTTATTGAGAGGCACTTATCTTCCACGTAAGAACTAAGCAACAAAACTGGACTTTTTTTTTTAAATTAAGCTAAGGATTTCCTTTCAGTGTATTATTACTGCTAGACAAGAACACAGATCAGAAACTGTGTAATACAATCAGAAAAGTTATCTTAAAATATTTCTTAACTGGTGTAAAATTCTCTTTCAGGAACATAGTATTGCATGGTGTATCAAATAAAACTAGTAAACTGTGAAATACTTCATATTTGAATCACTGGTATCTGATTTCACTACCTTACCTCCACCACAAACAACTACATCTAACAATTAACGTGATCTATATAGTTTGTTTAATGAACCATTTCATTTCATTAAAAATGTCTTACATTCAACATGTCATAGCGTTCTTTCAGTCACCTACCTCCTCGGCTGGCAAGGACAGTACCATCATAGGAAAATGTCAAACATGAAGTGTCAGTGCCTGGAGCATGGGCTTGCCTGCAGTGGAACTTTGTATGCACCTGTTTGCCAAACAAACAAAACATTACAAAATAAATTAAAATTACAAATCAAATAACAAATGAAACAAATGGGACAAACATTACTTCACAGTATTTTCTGGGCTCTGCTGCTATTCATTATTCTAAACAGAAACCCCTACACTTTTAGAAGGTACAGTAGCTAAGTATTTCCAACAGACTTTAAAAAATGTTATATTAGTTTTAGAATATGCTTTCGTAACAAGAGCTTGAATGCAAGATTCAAATTCTTCATAGGTTTAAATATACAGTACAGATTTACATAGCATCAGCACTCTTGGAAAACTTCCACTTGCACTGAACAAAGGTAGTTATGCCTGGTTAAGATAAAAATACATTCCAAGACAGATCTCAACACTCCCCTAAGTAGGCTTTTAGTTTCTCAAACTAGCAAAATACAGTGTACATACTTTAGAAAGGACTGAAAAGCACTGGAAAAATTTACTTTTGCCAAATTTAATCCCTGGCAGAATTCATGGCTTATATAACAGAACAAAGTTCAGATATTGTGAGGTTTGTGTTCCATTTAGGTACACTAAAATTCAAGTATGGGAACGATGTATGTTTTATTTTAATTATTTCTATTTTGCTGATAATCCTAAAGAAAGGTTGAAACTACCTTCAAGTTCACATTTTGTTCTTGTATGGAGATCACTTCTTATTTATTAAGTCACTATTCAGTAAAATACCTAAAAATTCTATTAACAGGGAAGGAACCTCAAATTAAATTTAAATGGTCTTGTCAAATCAAGCTTTTCCACTTTCCAACCAAAGCAAGGGTCTAACCTAAGATTCTAAGACAGGAAGTGGAAACACAGGAAGGGAAAAAGGGAAAAGACAGAAACAGAGAAAAACAAATTTCAGACAGGTTGATTCCTTTTTTAATACGTAGGTAATTATGCTTCTCACTTGCCCTATTTTTGTAAAAGAAAACTAATTCACATAGTTGTAAAATTAGGCATTCAAGACTTAAAGGTTTCCAGTGTGATTGTATCTAATCTTCCCCTCTTTAAATTGAGGATTAAAACACAGCGAAGAAAATGGCAATTAGTGACCTTGAAGTCCTTCATTTATGGTAGTGATGAGCAAAACAAAATTCACGCATGTAAGCATATCTTTTCAGATGAGGGGTTGAACAACATATAGCAAAATCAGACCAAGAATCCCACCCTGAACAGTAAGAGGACAAAACAATGAGCAGCTGCTCAGTGATTATTATCCAAACTATGCATTACAATAGACACAATTCTACTGAATAAAAAAGAGAATATGATCACAAAAGGTGAATGTGATTATGAAATGCAATCACACAGACTGATCTGGGGTCACACAGGCATCCTCAGTGAACTGATCTTCACATTTTTGACTATGCACCTTACTAAGACTCTTTTAATGGGTTATTTTCTAAGTAAGAGCCACAAACTAGTGAATTAATTCATGTTGTTTATTCTTAAGAATAGTTGTTCTAAATTTGGTTCAAAAGCTAGAGAATCTTTGTGTGATGACTTTAATAATTATTGCAATCTTATTTTCATGTGCAGATTTGGTCAGTCATTAAGAGGAGTCACATGAGGCATTCCCTCCACAAATGACTCTTCAACAAACAAAGGGGGATTTCAAATACCAACAACATGCTTCTTATAGTATTTGAAAACAGAATGCAATGGCCTACACTTAGCCATAGTAATTGTTTTGAAATGAATGTCACTTCCAGCCAATTGTGCATACCCTGAAGTCTATGAACAGACTGAGGTTTACAAGTGTTTGTCTTTGGTGGGAGCATTTATTAATACTAAAAAATATACTCTGTGCATCCAATTGCATAAAATTCTCCAAGTATGTGGAAACGTGTAAAGAATAAAATGTGAATTGGCTATCAGGAAATACATTTTCTGTAGTATTTGTTAAACATTAACAAGCAATTAAAACTATGTATTTTTTTGTGTAAGAAATACCATGGACACTCTCAAAAACATCATAAATGGTTAATATTCGCACTTTAAAAAATGACAGAAAGATTACGTTACGATATTAAGCTAATTCAAACAAATTGAAAAAAATTCATTTGGGCTCCACAACACTCCCATCCCTTCAGGCAATGTCACACTGACATACATATATTAAAATACCATTTTCTTCACTCTGCTGCCCAACTTAATGTAAGGGTGTAGGGTTTTTTCCTTTCATTTCATCCTGAAATTCTTTCCTCTTGTTTTGTGTTGGATCCAAATTAAAACACAGAAAGAGATCTGGGATCCAACAAATACCTTTTCTTTTATGTTTTACAAGTAAAAACCCTAAACGTCTATAGATAGATAGCAAATCACGTAACAGTCAGAATTTGTATTATTTTCCTATGGTCAAAGATACTGATTTTATTTAGCATTTATTTGCGAATCCATTAATAAAACTTAAACTGTGTCTTTCAAGAATTAAACAACCCATCTTAAATTGGCCCCAAGTTGTGCCAGAAGAGGTTTAGATTTTATATCATGAAAAATTTCTTTACTGGAAGAGTGGCCAAGCATCGTAACCGGCTTTCTAAAGAAGTGGTTGAGTCACCATGCCTGGATGTATTTAAAAGACATGCCAATATGGCACTTGGGGACATGGTTTAAGAGGTGGGCTTGGCAGAGTTAAGATTGTATATAAGGTTGTAAATAGTGGGACTCGATGCTCTTCAGGGTCTTTTCCAACTGAAATGACTTTTTTATTTTACACCATGCACTATAGAGCCTTCTCAATGAAGCACTTATACTCTGACCAGTTTTTGCCCTTTTTTCAACTGTCCTACAGAGAAAGGAAAACAGAAACATATGGATGTCAAAGACTGGTATTATTTGCCCCTTAATGACAAAAATTAAACCAAAAGAACAAATTTTGCCCAACTCTATCCAGCTTCGATACTTTAAGATTTCATGTAAAACCAGACTTGACTGAAAGGGATAGTAAGATTGCATCAGCAATTCTATGCCTTTAAAAATAAATTTGCTCAGTTTACCAGTAAAAGATTGTTTTCCTAACTTTGAGCTCTGCAAGCTCTTGCCCTCCATATATTATTCTGCAAAGGAATATAACCCTGAATTGTAGTACTAAATCAAATATTCTAAAATGATTGAAGGTTGAAAAAAAGTTTTTACACATACTGGCAAACATTTATTGCAGTTTTCAAAGAAAATAATGTTTCTGGCCTCTGACCTCTTAGTATTTTTAACAGATGTCTAATCTTGCTAACAAATCATTAGCAAAAAATTGTTATCAGAATGTTTCTAGCTGGAAAGACATGAAACAACAGAACCAATGTATGCAATTACAAAATTTGATTCAAGAAGGGAAAGGAAGAGCATTGAAACTTAAGATAAAGATGTCAAGATCATTTGGGCAAAGTGCATCTACAGATCTCCTTCTTACCCTTCTCCTTTTGTTGCAGAGGTGCCTGCTATTCTGAAGTAAGTCATGTGCCATACAAAATTTTACAAGTTCATCAGTCCTTAACATTTTTTAAAGGTTTAGTTACTTCAGCAAATTCTGCAGTAAACCACTATCTTCTGCTACTTTAAAGGCTCTCTAACAAAGAACTCCACCAATGTAAGCACTTTCCTCCTAGCTTTGTATTAGCATGTATATTTTAGTTAAGCAATTACAGCTGAATGTACTTGTGTGCAAAATGAGATGACAAGCATAAAACATAAAGCACATGTGAGAAAGGACACAGTTGCATGTACCAAAAACCCCAAAAATAACAGATAAATGTCAGGGTTTGCAACATTGCCACAGTCCTCAGAGCAAATGAGAGCCAGAACACAAAAGGAAACCAGAGAACGGATTAGGAAAAGGTGGGGGTAGAGGCAAAGATACATGACTGGAGGAGCATCAGCAATGAGTATCCCTTTTACAAAAATCTGTATGGATTTAAGAGGACCCATATGGAAGTGAAGATGACAGTGGCCACATGAATGATTTACCACAAAAGAATGACCTACAACAGAGCCACATGGCTGCAGCACTGCATCTCACAACTGCTGTCCTGCTCCAAAACACTCAATAAAACTTGTTCTAGGAAAAAGACAGATCTACTCACTTTGTTCACCTCAGAAATCCAAGCCACATCAATGAGGAAAATAACAGTATGTCTAACTGACGGAATTTTTCAACTTCCCACATTGTTTCTGGGATATAATATTTCACGGTAAGCCAACACTTTCCCAATATTATAATGCTTCTGACATTCTGCCCCCCCACTTTTCTTTTAACAAAATATTGAATGCCCCAGCCAAGACATTCTGCTTCCTTCTTATTTCTAACATCTTCTAGATTTTTCTTTAAAGCAAAGGCAGTAAATTAAGGCAGGCCTTGGGGAAAGTGGGACCTACAAAGACAGCTATATCAATCTTTCTCTGTTTTACAAATGTATAGCAAAATATTACTTATTTATTAGTGTGGACACAGTCAACCACACAACCACAATCAAGATTTATGCTGGTTTCAAACAGGAGGCAGAAGGGCAGGATAGTTCAGCAGAGACGCCTGACAAGCAAGTCCCAGGCCATGTACAGCTACTTGAGTTTTAAATGAGTATTTTCACCTAAGATACAGCAAAATAAAATAGCTCACACTGACAATATTCAATTGCAAAAGTTGTAATTTTTAACAAATGTAAAAGCCTTCCAAGATGACATATTATCATAGGCCAGGCTCAGGGTAATAGAAGTATCAGTTACAAAGCTGCAAGACAACAACAAACAAATAAATCAGAAATCTCCTTTTTAGTCACAACTGACCAAAGCTGTCTGGGTCTTTGTTCAAAGTGATCCAAGCAGAAACAGACAACACCTCAGAGCTCTGATCACAGCTGACAAGGCAGACAGGTTCCCAAGACAGGAGTTTCACTATCCAAATATCTACTTCCCCATCCCCCTTTCAGCCACCTCTACTGAAGGAAGCCTATCTCATAGCTCTCAATTATAATCCACAAAAGAAAT